GATTGGCACCAAAAGGCCAGGAACTGGCAGCAAAAGGACGGGAATGGGCACCAAAGGCCTGGAAAAATGCACCAAAATCCTGGGGATTGGCACTAAAAGGCTGGGAACTGACACCAAAAGGTTGAGAATTGGAACCAAAAGGTCAAAGTTTGCAACCAAAAGGTCGAGAACGGGCACCAAAAGGCCCAGAACTGGCATGAAAACCCTGGGGATTGGCATCAAAACCCTGAATATTGGCACCAAACCCCTGGGGATTGGCACCAAAACCCTGGGGATTGGCACCAAAAGCCAGCCCTTCCCTGCTCTGCCCACCTGCAATGCCACAAGTGCTGCCCCAAACTCATTAATGAGCAATTAATGCCATCAGTGTGCAGCTGCAGGTGGGGAGTGCCCCAAAATCATGGAAAAAAAAGGGTTTAGGGATAAAAAGCAGTGCTGAATTTGTAGTGTCCCTGCGGGGGCGTTGCTGCGGTTTGAGGGGGTTCTGCCCCAAAATCTTGGGGCTTTTAGGTGGGACGAGGAGGGGACAGCAAGCATGAAGTTGCTCCTTTGGGGTGGTTTTCCCCAAATTTGGGAGACCGGCACTAAAAATGGGGAGGATTTCACCCAAAATGAAGGGTCCTGCTGGGATCCCTCCCGATCTCCGAACAGGGACTGGGATTCCTGAGCTTCAGCACCACCGAAATCGAGGGAAGTGCAGCCAAAAGCAAAGATGGGAGAGGGAAAGCAGCGGGACGGGGCGGGTGTCCCCCCAACGCCACTTCTGTCGGGGGGTTTGGGGGGAATTCAGGGGGTTTGGGGCTTGGAGCGGCCACCACCTGCTGCTGGCTGGGATGTGGATGCTCAAACCTCCGCTTCAGGGTCATTTTGGGGGGAAAACATGGGAATTTTCCGGCTGCTCACGCGAGGGGAAGCACAGCCCCAAATCCAACCTAGAGAGCCTCAAATCCCCCCTTAAAGCCCCTCTAGTCCTGAGCACCCCTCTCTACACAGCCCCAAAGCGCCTTTAACGGCCCCAAATCCACTCAGAAAATGCCACACTTCGCCGTGGGAGCCTCACATTCTCACGGAAGGTTCTAAAACCCTCACAGAAGCCCTAAAAGCCTCAGAAAGTCCCAGTTTCCTCACAGCAGCATCCAGACCCCTAGCAGAGTCACAAGCGTTCTCCTAAGAGCCCAAAATGACCTCAAACAACCCCAAAACCTCGCGGAAAGTCCCAAATCTCCACATGGGAGCCTCCAATCCCCAAATCCCCTCATGGTAGCCCTGTACCACCCCAAAGAGTCTCCCCATCCTCTGAGACGCTCCCAAATGCCGTCTCAGAATCCCCGTAAGGCCTCGCGGTGACCTCCCACCCTCTCAGACGACCCCAAATTCCCTCGCAGAACTCCCGCGTCCCCTCGCGGCGACCCTCCACCCGCTCAGCGGCGCCTCGCAGGCCCCACCCCTGCTCTCTTTCCCCTCAGGCCGAGCCCCCCCGGGCGCGGCGCGGCCCCGCTCACCCCCATAATGGCGGCGGCGGCGGCTCCTCACGGCGCGGGGGGCGCGGAGGGTCTGAGGGGGCGCGCGCGGGGGGCGCGCTATTTATAAGGGGGGGGGGAAAGGGGCGGAGCGCCAAGCGCGCGAGCCCGCGGCCGGCGGCCAATGCGCCGGCGCGGAGGGGAAAGGGGCGGGGCGCTAGGGGCGGGGGCGCGGGCGGGGCACCCGCGCGTGCGCGAAAGGGGAGCGGGAAGGGCGGGGGGAG